GGGCTCCTGCCCATATCGACAGAAAATGACTTTCGTTCTCGCTGTGGAATCTATGGAAGCTGATAATTGGACGATGGGTTTAAAATAGGTTAAAAAAAAAAACCCCAAAAACTCTGATAACACATTAGACATCTGTGGAGCTGCTTCCTAACAGGTCCTCAGAACGGGGCCCAGCTGCATCATTACGCTGCACTTTGATGTGTTCTGCCCTGGATTCAGTCCCTGAGACGAGTGCTAACACGTGTCAGCCTCAGTCGGAGGATGATAATTGTACGGTGGAAGAAGTGTTTGAGGCCCTGCTTCAAGTTCTTTCATTTTGACAGCAGAAATCATGGAAATAAATCCCTGCTTTGAGCTTCGTTTTTGTTTTCTTGCAAAGATTAAAAAACTTTTCTGAGGCATTTGGCACTTTTTTTTTTTTTTTTTTTTCTTGTACAAAAACACTTGATCTTCTGCTGTTGGTGGTGTAGCGTCAGTCAGGGCTGTTGTTGACAACCATTTTGCCCATTCCAGTCCAGTCCAGTCCATTCCAGTCCAGTCAAGTCCGGTCCGGTCCAGTCCAGTTCAGTTCAGTCCAGTCCAGTCCAGTCCAGTCCAGTCCAGTCCAGTCCAGTCAAGTCAAGTCCAGTCCAGTCCAGTTCAGTCCAATCCAGTCCAGTCCAGTCCAGTCCAGTCAAGTCCAGTCCAGTCCAGTCCAGTTCAGTCCAATCCAGTCCAGTCTATTCCAGTCCAGTCCAGTCCAGTCCAATCCGGTCCAGTCCAGTCCGGTCCAGTCCAGTCCAGTTGGAGAGTTAAGGTGGCACAGACTGTGTAAATATAACTTTAAGGCGTTCTGATCGTAAATACCAGAAGTTCTTCACTGACCAGTGTCACCAGTTTATAGATGACACCGTCATCGTGATGGAGGAGTGGCAGGAGTGTAGGGTGTGGGTTCAAAGACCGCTCCTCTCTGAACCATCCTTGTATCAACACTCATAAACAACATATATATATATTTTTTTCTTCTCTGTTGGTGATTTTCTGCCGATCGGTTCCATGGACTCCAACAGTCCAGACCAGGTATTACAGACCGACTCACTGACTCAACGCCGTCTTGTTGGGTTGATGTCTACCGTGTGTTTTTGCTCAGATGTGTGGTTCACGTGCGGCTCTACTTCTATGAGGTCATGGTAACAGGAACGGGGTTTGTTACTGTCGTACTGTTGGTTCTCGGCCGGTCGGTGTCCACGGGCACAGCAGCAAACCCACTCATTGTGTGTCTTACATAAGTGTTGAAAAGTGTGCGCGGTGACGGCTCTTCATCACGGCCGTCTCGGTGAACGGTGACGGCTCTTCATCACGGCCGTCTCTGCAGTGCCAGTGTCGGGCCACGCCCCTCCTTCCTTTGTTTGACAGAGAAAATCTGTCAGTCTGTGTGAGTAATAAACCAAGGCCTACGAAGACCTGCCTGGATGTGAGTGTGTCATCAGCACAGGGTGTGTGTGTGTGTGTGTGTGTGTGTGTGTGGTTTTGTTTGTTGAGTCACGGTGTTTATATTTGAGCCGAGCCAAGCAGCTCGACAAGTCGCTGCTTGGAGTGTGTCGTTCTGTCTGCACCACGATGAGGGGAAACTGCAGGCCTTGTGTAAATATATATATATGAGTATATGTGAGTATATGTGAGTCGTTGCACCTCACACAGACTGCCACAGGAGGCGCCATGAACCCAGGAACTGCTGCACGTAAGGCAGATGTGAAAAGCAGCGACGCTACCGAACCGCTAACGTAGCAAGTAAATGTGAGACGAGGCGTGAACTGAGGCTGTGAGAACACACCGATACACGGAAGTACTGCAATACCATCCATCCATTTTCATCCACTTATCCAGTACCGGGTCGCGGGGGCAGCAGTCTCCACCCAAATCACACTCCACCGTACCAACCCCCCCTGAACCTTCCTGTGGGTGGTGAGTCCACTGGAAGGTACCAACCGCCCTAACCAGGATTCGAACTTGCCCAGGAGGTGAACCCTGGGGTTCCACACCAATGACAGAGACATTGCCTCTGGGCCCTGTAGCTGTAGCTTGCAATACTTTGTTTCTTATATTCTAATATTCTAATATCAGGCCTGTTTTATCCCAGTATCGTAGCCTCTGTACGGTGATACGTCTCGTCAGATTCCTTTGATCTCTGCCGTCGCTGTAGCTGTAGCTGTAGCTGCAGCTGTAGCTGTAGCTGTAGCTGTAGCTGTAGCTGTAGCTGTAGCTGTAGCTGTAGCTGTAGCTAACCTGAGCATCTGCTGTGGAGTACAGTATGTTCAGTATGTGCTAGTATAATGTACACACTGGATGTGTATACAGTGCAGTACACATACACACACACACGTATGTTGACGTGTCCGTCTGCAGCCGTAAGCTCCAGTCCAAACAGTGACACCGGCGTCTGCTCACGTTGATAATCCTCCCCCGGGATTTGAACCAACAACATCCTTCTGTTAGTCACACCTCGATTCACTGCCATTCTGATGCGGCCCAGGTTGAGCAGCTCCATTCCTATTCATGGGTGAAGTCACGCCACCAACACCCCCGACCCCCG